AGGCGGAGCAGGCGGGCACCCCGAAACCAAACACTTCTGGAAGGGCTGAACCAGCGGGTGGGTTTGCACAGCAGCCCAGGCCCCGCATCGCCCACACGCCACCCTGCCCGCTTCCACGTCTGAGCACGAATTTGTGAAACTACACACCCTGCAGTCTTCCCTGCCTCGCTCCCCTGTGCCCCGCTTTGCTTTCGACACGGTGGGAACCACTGGGCAACTGCTGGTTAACCACACCCCGTGCTATCTGGGATGTCCTAGTCTATCTCACTGACCTGCAGACCCCACCCCAGAGAAGAACAGGTATCCCACAGGTCCTGTATCATACCTGTCAGACTCGCACAGATACCCTAAAAACCACATGGCACCTTCATGTCACCAGACACCTCCATTTTAGCAATGAAATCCCAAAAAAGTGCTAAAAATTAATTTAGTAACAGTGAAGAGAAACCAAATCATGCGATGCTTTGCTGTTATGCAGGTAATCTGCCAGATCAATATTTGCAGATACATGCTCTGCAGTATGGCAACAACTACTACCTGTAGAAGCCCGTTATCTTTGGCAGGGAAGAGAAAGGGAGAGATCCAAGCTTCGGTTAGAGTTTATTTCACATGCATTACACAGAAAAATGGTAAAAAATAGTTTGGGAGTAACAGTTCTCCAGTACAGGCTCTTTGCTCATCCCTCATTCTGCCCCCCATCCAGTTTTCTGTCCTTTTCTTCCATTACATTTTCATCTCTTCCCTTCATCTCGGTCCCAACCTTCCTTCCCTTTCTCCTTTGCCTCACACTCCTTGCCCGTCTCCCAGCCCAGCTCGCGTACGGTCAGCGACCGCCTGCCCCACCACTGCCCGCTCAAGAGGCGCGAGCGCTGCACACCCTCCTCTTCTCCACCTCGGCCCTGCGGCCAGAAACACCGCAAAGGTGCCTTGGCTCGGGCAAGAAACACGCCCTGTCTCCATGTGGAGCACCACACGGCGTCCGCGGGGAACGGACTCGCGTGTCTAGAACGGATCTTTTAAACCATAAGCCTCTGAAGTGGCACAAAACGGAGCGCCCCGAGAAGAAGGGCCACAAGGACGTCCGGCACCACAGGCGTTTCTCTGATGAATCGCAAGTCCCTGCCCCAAATTAGAACTTCTTTAAAAGACAACACCCAAACAATGTGTTGTAAGTCTCCCTCCCTAAAGTGGCTGAACCATGCTAGATGAACAGTCCCTCAGAAGAAAAGTCATTCTATGGTAGATAATAGTCATGGGAAGTTTTGGTCCAAACTATTCAAGTTTGGTACAGTTACATGTAACTGAAAACAGGTTTAAAATAAACAAGGCGATTGGAGTATTACCTGTATCATCTACACCAGCTATGTCATTGATACTCCAGAAAATTTTCCGTAACAAGTCTTTCTTAAAAGTTTTTATCAGTTTCTGGTATTTTTAGTGCATAGAAACCAGACTTTAAACCATAAGCTTATAAAAAAAACCCTGAGTCAGATTCTATTTTGGTGTTAAAATACTATTAGCCTTTTAAAATGCTAATGCCCAGTTACTTTTATGGCTAGGACTGCCGTACTAGCTCAAAGCATTAACAACTGTACTACTGTACTTTTTTTTTCTCTTTACAAAGTAAAATAGGATTAAAAAAACATAAGCATAAACAACTTTCCAGTATGTCCAGCAAACTGCACTACTGGGCTTTAATCAGATCTGATGAAATCTCATTTCTCCTAACAATTTTTTTAGTGAGCACTTGAGAAAAAGATAGTCTAAGAATGACAGGAGACTGCTATTTGGCTTTTTTAATACAAACTGAGAGCTCATTTTCCTTCCTGCTTGTATCGGAGGCCAACTCCCCCCCCCCCGAAAAAACAAAAATCAAACTTATCTGCAGTGACTGTAACAACAAGATTTGAAGAGGCCACAGCTCTTTCCATTCCCCGTTAGGAAGCTTAGAGCTTCAAGCACTTGCTACACTATGGAGACTAATCCTAAACATAAACTAATCTAATGTGTAACAAAACCAGCGACTTAAAAGACACAATGAAGAAGAAAAATCTGGAATTTAAGAAAGGTTTACTGTTTAGATGAACATTTAGAAACAAGGAACTATCCATCTTTTTTTTACATTACCAACACTCAAGAGGCACACCAGAGGCACTGCGATCATAACGCTAAGAGGGCCTGAGAGCCGAGAACTAAACAGCTCCATTAGACCAAGCCTTTACAGTTAGCGACTTCTCCAATTGTTTAAAAGAGTTTTGATTTATTCTTCTCAGGTTTTATCACCGTTTCCAAGTAACATTCAATGACTTGAAGTGCAAAGGGTTTGCAAATGGAATGGAAATGGTCTTGTACTGATAAGAGATAAGAGCTGGAAGTCAGTGCTTGAAGACAGATAACCGCTGCGCACATGCCTAGCTCACAGTGAACGTATCAAAACTCTCTGTTTTGAAAGAGTAACACAGAACGGTTTGGGTTGGAAGGGATCTTAAAAACCAGCTAGTTCAAACCCCCCTGCCATGAGCAGGGACACCATCCACTACACCAGGTTGCTTAAAAGCCCAACCAACCTGGCCTTGAACACTACCAGGGATGGGGCATCCACAACTTCTCTGGGCAACCTGTTCCAGGGCCTCACCACCCTCATAGTGAAGAAAGAATTTCCTCCTGCTATCTAATCTACATTTATCCTCTTTCAGTTTAAAGCCATTACCCCTTGTCCTGTCACTACATGCCCTTGTAAGAAGTCCCTCTCCAGCTTTCTTGTAGGCCTCCTTTAAGGGCTGGCAGCTGCAATAAGGTCTCCCCGGAGCCTTCGCTTCTCCAGGCTGAACACCCCCAACTCTCTCAGCCTGATCTCACAGCAGAAGTGTTCCATCCCTCTGGTCATTTTCGTGGCCTCCTCTGGACTTGCTCCAACAGGTCCAACACAAGCCTTGTGGGCTAATTAAAGATTACCAAGTATAGTTTATATAGGGCCAAGCTGAAGCAAAAGAGCAGGGCAGTAGTAGAAAGCTGCTGCAGTTTGCACCACACTTGGTCCTGCAGTTACAGGAAGTGCCTGGACCTTCAAAGCTGTAAGAGGGAGGCAATTTTCATTGCTCCATCTTACTCAGGAAACATTTAAAAGCCAAAACTCTGTTATCCATGTGGCCACCCTAAGGTCCTGCTAGCTCCGTATCTTGTCTCTGACCGTACCCAAAAGCAATGCCCTTTATTAGGGTATTACAAGTACAGCACATTGGGGTAGTAGACCTATAGGTGTATTAGACATAGGGAAGTATATAGAGGCATTGGGGTATTAGAATATTGGGATACTAGAAGCGGAGTGAATTAGAAGCAAATATAGGAATACTTCAACATACATGATACTTTCCTCTAATGCTCGCCCAGCCTCCAAGCACATTCAGCTCAAGGGACTTCCTTAGCTGGACTTTTTTTTTTTTAAAGTGTGCTTAACACCATAAAGTCTTCTCATCCTGTTGCTCTTTGAACGAATACAAACCTGTGACATCTAGAAAAGTCAAAAGGAGTTCCACTGGTTCAATTATCACTGTGTTAAGAATCACCTGCCTTGTTTTCATCCTTGCTCTTCCTCGCTAATTTTTGACGCTTCCCCCTGTTACCGTACTGCAGCAGGCAAAAAACGGATTCCTATCCATCTTCTCCCGACCCCTTGTGTCGTTGTGACTGTGTCATAACCCCCACCCCCTTAAGAGAACCAAGTTCTTCCTCCTGGCTGAAGCATTGGTTTATTTACGCATTCCCCACATCGGCTGTTTCAAAAATGCATACTGGAGCATCCAGATGACCAGGACTCCTAGTACTCGCTTTTAACCTATTCTTCCTTATCCTTCCCTGCTCCAATGGTACCCCTTACTGGCCATCTCAAACCCTGAAAACTTCCTTGTCAGGACACACTGTCTTGTGAATGAAAGGGTTTTGCACGTGACTTTTCCAGCACTTATTCACAGCAGTATTTTATAGAAACATCTCTGACTCAAAACAAAAGAGATGCAAGAAATAAGTTTCCAGATCCCCAAAATAGTTCAACTTTGTATGGTTCCACAGATCTTTTTTTTAATAAATTTCCACAGCTGGACCTGCAAAGCAGCTGTCAACTTTCAAGGGAGGAGGTGCAGCCATTTTCTGGCATATTTTTTTGGACATAGTCAAAACTGCTTACTTAGTTGGTGGTAAAGCAACACTTTCGAAGGAAGATATTGAAGGTTATTCCTCACTTAAAGAAGCACCCATTTCAGTTTTTCTCTCCTACAAAGAGCAACACAGTCCAAAACACAGAAAGAAAATATGCAGTCAATGTATTTAGTAGCATATTATTAAAAATATTTGTGTTCTGGACCATTTTTCTTTAGCCACTTTTCAACTCTACAGTGAAAGCACATTATGGTAGGAAAGCACCAAAATGGAAAATGTTTTCCAACCTCTTAATGTCAAAGAGGTTTTACCTTAGAAATGCAAGGAGGAGAAAACTTCTCCTCTTTGCATTGGTTTCAGAAACAAACACTCAAGCTGCCTGTGAAGCCTTACTTGCTCAGTTTCGATAAAGCATGGGAAAGCTGCTGGGATCACTTTTTTCCTGGCCTCAGGTGAAAGATACATTAAGTCTTTAAAAAGGAAAACTTCTGCATGTCATTTTATTTTCCAGAGATTGCATGAACAAGAACATTTTAAAAAAAGAATTCTGAGTAAGTGGTTCTCATTTCTTAAAATTCCTACCACTCTTCTGTCAACAAAATTTCACTAATTTCCTAGTCATCTAAGAGCTCTTCTGCTAAGATCATGGGAGTCAGGTTTGACGTTTTTAGAAGTTAAAAATATTTGTATTTTCTTCCTCCCAGTGTCACATCTTTTCCAGCATTTCAGGCTGTATACTAAAGATGCATTTTTACATTTTTACACCTTTCAGATCACTTCAGGCTACCCAGCAATCAGGCATGTTCTGTTTCACTGTTTAGACATTGCATCTAGGAACATAAACAGTTTGACTACAGTTTATAGCAATTCTCCAGGTCAAAGGAGCTATACTTGCAAAAGCTATCTTTTAGTTAAATTTCATTTAAACTACGGCTTTGTGAGCATAGTAGTTTATGCTTCTTTTAAACACAGAAGCCCTGATGCTAAGTGGCATCCCCTGGCAGCAAAACGTCCTGTTACTGATGTGGCCATGTCCGGAGGGAATGAGGGGAGTTTGGAAGTAAAGAAAGCTCGCACAGATTTTCACCACGCACACAGGTTACTTACTGCCAACGTGCTGTCTCCAACATTTGATGCGATGAGTCCCTCAATTGTGCCATATTCTGCATCTCTAGAATTCAGCCTCTCCATATGATTTTTCTGTATTCTGCGGATAATCAGCACAGCTACTGCAGAAAAAACTACCAACACTACCACAGGAGCCAGTATAACAATGATTAGTGTTTCCATGCTGTAACCTGCAGCTTCTCCTTGAAAGGTTTGCCCTTGGAAAGGACGGGGGAGTGGGGGAGGGGAAAGAGAGAGGGAAAAAAATAAATAAGTTTGCGAATTCCCAGAGAAAGTCTTTAAAACCAGTAGCGCTGACACCAGCATTTAACTTGGTAGACACCTAGCCTGAAAGAGGAGCTGTGACACAGCCGGAGCTATGAGTGTGCACTTACACAAGGGACGCTACCGCAGTGACTGCCTGCGGTGCAGTCAGAATAACCCCATCCCTTCAGAACACACCCCATCCTGACTGTGCAACTCACTCACAGGCAGCAACTCAACCCTGACCATGACTGCGCATTTGAACGCCCTTCACCCAGCAATACGGATCATTCAACCTGCAGACATCAGACACGTGCCAGTGGGCCCCAGGGTGGGGAACAAAGTAGAAAGGGTCTTACTGCATCGATTAAACCCTTACTTTCGTTACCAATGAAGCCATCTCACTCCCATCACATCAGATGAAACCTGAACACCTTTTGTCCTTCTCAAAATTCACTATTTATTAATTAACCTCTCACCTTTAGAAGAGGGCAACTGTGCAGTGATATTCATGTTGCACAGGTATCCTTGGCAGCACTCAACAGCTTGGTCAGGAGAGGGAGGTGTTTTGCACGTCATTTTGCCTTGTTCGTAGACTTGGAAGCAGCCTTTCTGGTAAACCTTAGCACCGTCATTAATGCTCAGGGAAGCAAAACATTGCTGGCCTTGGCAACGGTCACCGTTCCCACAGGACATGCCTTCACACACACATTCGTAGTGGACCATATTTAGCTTCAGTTCATCATCTGTAAAAGGGGAGAGTTGAGGAAAAGACACCATCGTATTCTTAATAGCTTCAGTTTTACAGAGATAACAAAATCATTAGACAATAAAACTTTCTGTGTTAGGGAAGAAACATTACTTGCAGCTAGTGCTGAGGAACCACCAAGTAGGAGCTAACGATACTAATTCAGCTGTTTCAGCAAGACAAGGATATGAGCTTGTGCCATCAAAGAAATACCAGTCATATCTGCCCACTCCAAGTACTCAAATTGAGAGTTTGGTGACATTTTGCACACCCTCTCACACACACACTACTGCATAAAACATGGGAGGGTCATCTACACAGGGACACTCAGCAGAGCGGGGAAAAAACTAAACACCTAACAAACTGTAAATTTAAAACAGATTTGCTAAACCACATTATATTTCTTTATGGAAATGGTTATTCTCAAGCATTCCGGAAACAACTTTAACTAAATCAAATTAAAGCCACTTAAATTTGCAGTGGACACAGCTACACAGGATTTGGCAGGTTTAACTACCTTGCTTGAAAAGTAAATCCGGACCAACTTTCCCAGGAAGCCAAGCCTTTGAGGAGTACCTTGCAAGTCTGAGTAACCACTGAGAAAAAGTAAAGCAAGAAGCAGCACACTCTGTCAGCAGGTACACCACCTCCCTTCCACCTCTAAATGCTTCGGATAAGTAAAAGAAAGGGCTTTTAAGAGTGTATAGAGTATGAAACTAAACTTCTAAGTATCCTCAGCAAAGCATTCGGAGATCCCGAGCTGGGAAAACCCACCCTCTCCACGCAGAGCCACGCACACTGCTGCTTTCAGGAGCAGCACGTGCCTTTAAACGCACAGCACTGGGTCACTCCAGCCTCGGCAGGAGGGACCACCACTCGACTAGCGAATGGACAACACTGGAAGCTCTTCAGTTTCCTGGAAAATACAGGTGCCCGTGGTGGCAGAGCGCCATGCGCACTCACAGACAGCTGAGAAAAGAGGCACAGCTGTGACAGAACAAGACACACATCCCGTGCATACACACATATGTTTATAGCAACTCTAACTCATATTTACATTCTCTTTTTCAGTTCTGACACACAAGAAAAATTTCCAGCCATAAATACAGTGGATGCTCCTAAAATAGCAGCTGAGCATACTGTGTGTTGGGACTTTTTCAAGCCTATCATTACTTTTACTACTGTTACTACTTCCTATGCCCAAACTGCTCCTTTCTTTACTTGGTATTCCAACTCCACGGTGTATTACCATGGACCAACCAGCCCTTCCCTCATTAATGCTCCTGCAGTACCACACTCACTTAAAATACAGGTTGGGCTTTACCCAGACAGGAAGGCTGACTGAGGCTGCAGAATCAGCCAAAGCACTGACCGTGTCCCCCGTTCCCGTCTCTGCAGGCCACCAGCCGAGAGCAGACAGACGGGGCACGGCTTCAGGGAACACGTCCGAGCTAACCACGGTACTACACCCGCAAAGCGCTCTGCCCGTGCCCAGCTGGGAAGGGCTGGGCATTCTAGCCATAGCTCCCCAAAGTGAAACCAGCCGCACCTGCAAAGCACGGTTTTGGTGGCATATGGGGAACCCACAGCAGGGGCAGAGCTGGACTGGGCGATGCTTCTCCAGAGCTCTCATGAGCATGCCTGTCCGAGCAAGTCTGCAGGACAGACATGACCAGCAAATGCCATGGGCCAGTTGCAATCAAGAGGTTACAGCTGAAGCAGATCAACTCCCTCAAAAACACACGCTCCGAGGTAAGTACCCACTCAACAGCAGCTCCAGGCGTGGAAGGCTGTCAGGCCAACTACGTATGTAGCAGTCAGGCAACACACGCAGGCCTGAAGCCAAGCTTAAAAATACTTCCATCACCTAAACACATCCATTGCATATATTTTTGTTTCGTAACACAGAGACTCATTGCTACACTTCTGGCCCTTATATATTGTGCATACACATATAAAAAAAAAAATCTGACTTGCCACACAAAGATAGAGATTTGCATTAACTTCTCATTAACTACTTTATTAGTTCATTAATTATTAAGAAAGTGTCAAAATTGAAGCTCCTTTATTTTGTTTGCTTATTCACTTTGTGCAAGTCAATAATTAAGAGTGCTAACCAATTACCTAGGTATTTCAACAGAACAAGAACCAAGACACTCCACATTTTACTCAGTGAAGTGGAAGGTCCCGTGTTCAACCCTCCTGGTGACTGCCCAGGACACGTTCCGCTGTCCGCAGCGCTCATGTGCCCGCACGCAGCCCAGCCGTCCCGGCCTGAATCCACAGGACACCAAACCGCAGGACTCTGATAACGTGGGTCAATGATGGAAATATCTTGGTTTCCTTGCATCTGTACAAGTTAGTTACTTCTAGGTGAAGTTTATTTCACACAGCCAGGTACCAATCTAGACAGTTTTATGTCATATTTTATATCCAATTCCTGGACTATAAACACTGTTAACTGTTTGGGAAAATACCAAGCTTCTTCTCTCCGAGGAAAAATACACTACATACACTTCCGGTAACACATCTTAATTTTGATGTGATCTCTTCACATTTAGAAGAGTGATTCATTTTCCATTGAAACAGTTAGTACAAGAGACACTTGGCCACCTTTTCTTATTGGCACTACAGCACCATAGTTTCTTCAAATACCTTTGACTTGAAATAACACCTTTATTAACCATGTGATCTGGTCAACAAATATTGACGTAATTTTAAAAAGCATTAAAAAGTAAAAATATACACCATAAGAGTCTCTATTTCCTTTCTAAAGGCACAGTCTCTAATTATATTACATGTACCTATTAAAGAAGGGCTTTAACAATATCAAATAATTTCCTTCCAGCAATGCACCACCACTGCCTACCCTCCCTTCCAACGTTTCATAGAATATCTCAAGTTGGAAGGGACCCATAAGGATCATTGAGTCTAACTCCCTGCTCCTTGCAGAAGCGAATTTCACCTTGCAGATACAGACTAGTGCATCTTACTACACAGATATAATACACATTTAGTGCGTGCGTGCATGCAAGCGAGTGTTCAGAGAGACAACCTACATGACACCACAAGACCTTAGTATGTGGCTGGAAAAAAAAAGTCAAGTGGCCAAGGATGGAGAGAGGTAAACAAGCCCTGAACATACTCATCCTTCGCCCACCAAGACATGACTTTACAACGGTGTAAGTTTAAAAGGAACAATTCCATCTAATTGATTCCTCTTTTTCCAAAGAGCAAAGCAAAGCAAGAAGGAGTGACACCTGCAGTCACAAGTGAGAGGGCAGAGAAGACCCCCCCGGGCACTCTCCTGCAGCTGCAGCTGTGCGGGCGGAAGGCGCCGTGCCTCCGCGGCCGCATACTGCACGTGCACAGACGCTGCAGTCATGGGCTAACCTCGGGCACGCGCGGCCGGTCCCAGCCCTCAGAGCCACCGGGACTCCGCTTCCCAAGCCCAGGCCACTCGGAGCTGTACTACGGTGGTTAGCCCCTTTGCAGGCTTGCTGCTAGGCTTTGAGTGGGACCACCTGCTGAGTGGGATCGCTCTTTTCAGATGGAAAGCCAGCCTTGAAATCAAACCGGGAAGGTTACAAGTCACAGGCGAAGCTTGTTTCAGAGAGCTGCTGAAATCTCTAGTAGGATGAAAGGGACTTCATGCTCAAAAGGCCAAAATATTTAAAAGCAGCAATGTTCTTTTCCTTTTTAAATAACTAGGATTGGGGGAAGAGGTGGGGTCTGCTAGGGCTTCATATCATAATGAATTGAAGATGAAGGAAAGCAGACTTGGAAAAATTAAAATCTCCTTAGAGTCCATTTCACTGTACGTTAGCCAGGTCTTTTTTGGTGGTTAGCTTCCCTTTATAATTCTTAGCCATTTCAGGGAAACAGAAAATAAGCTTGTAGAGTTGACTACTCCATTCAGAGCTTTATTTTCTCTTTCTCAGTGCATACAGTAACAAGCATTATACAACAGCCATAATAATAATAATAATCACAGAATCACTTAGGTTGGAAGAGACCCTTAACATCATCGAGTCCAACTGTAAATCTAACACTGCAAGTCCACCACTAAACCATATCCCTAAGTGCCAGGTCTACATGTCTTTTAAATGCCTCCAGGTATTTAAAAGTGACTTAACCACTTCCCTGGGCAGCCGATAATAATTTGGTTAAGATTTATTAATTTAACACAAGCCTTTGAATTTACCAGCACTAAGAAACAGCTGCTTAGCCTTATTACTGTTCTCCATATTACAAAACCCCCTAAACCAGAAACAGCACGAGTGCTACGGGCACGGACAGTCAGTCAGAGAGCTCCAAGGCTGGGCAGAGGTGCCCAGCTCTGCAGCAGGCCCCATGCTGTTCCCACAGCCGGCTGCCCACAGGCCAGACGGTGGCTCCTGGAGTTTCAGCAGCTCCCAAACACTTCCTGGCCACGGTGTGACACGAGACCCTCTCCAGCCTGCCCAGTTCTGGCGCCCAGGAGAGGCTGCGCCTGGCAGGGAAGTTGTGACGGCCAGAGCAGGACGCGGCCCGGACGCCTTCCGCCATGGCTGGAGAGGGCAGAGGCGTCGGCAGCACTTCGTGCACCGTGCTCCTAACACTGCCATCGGGACTAGGAAGTGGCATTTGTGCACGGTGGCTAGTAAGTGAAAAACCTCACGCGCTTAAGCATAGGCATCACATTATTTAGAAAGTGCTTGCTTTGGTCAGGGTTTAGCTTCTTCAAAATGAAAAGCCTCTCCCCACTTTAAAGGGCTAATAAAGAAGTAACACAGAAGTAAGAGCTGCAATAAACATTTAGAATAAAAGGATTTTCTGGACACTCAAGTAGGAAAGAGAAGTGTTTCTGCACCTAGAATTCTACAGTATTTGATTTTGTGGGTTGGGTTGTAGGGTTGCCTTTTTTCTTTCTTAAAATCATGTTCTGTCTCACCTTCTGAAGCCTAGGGGCAACGCAGAAATAGTCAGAGCCTGCTCCTGAATGCTACCCAAAGATATGTCCAGACAGTTTTCACTCATCAAAAACACAAAAAAAACAGCCCACCCTAGTCCAAACCCCAGTGAAAGGAAAAGAACGGACTGTGGTAAAGTACACGGGGAAAACAACCAGAAGGCTTTGTGCTTTTGTTATTTTCCAAAAAGGGAAGACAAAAATCACTGTTCTCCACCAAAACATCAACTTTTTTAAAAATTCAGAAAAAGCACATGGGAAGGCATGCTGGTCAGGGTGCACCAAACCCACCGCTGCGGCCTGTTAGCAGGCAGCAGAGGATTAACTACCATTCCCTCAAAGGATCTCCAAAAGCACACTCTCCCTTGAAAAACACTCCAGCACAGGCTGCTGGCTTGTAAGCACCAAGCAGCACTTGGGACACTCAAAACAAAGCGGTGAGTTCTCCCATTGCTACTACGTGTCTGGCTGGTGAGGAAACCAAAACCTAGATGAAGAGACGTAAATGAAAATTTGCTGAGGGGTCCCCTAGGTATTTCTGCCTCCCCAAACACTCCCCTACAACCAGCTTGGAAGGAGGAAACGGTTTCCAAAGAAAAAGAGCAGCGTTACTACTAGCAAATGTGAAAAGCGGGAAGAGCAGTATCGTTTATGTGCATTAGACAAGTAATTGCTCGCAGGAAAAGAAAACTCACCATAGGAAGTACGAGGGGGGAGAAGGAAAGGAATAAAACAGGAAAAGCAAAGCAAAGCAAGGCTGCATGTCTCTTCTATAAAGTCTTTCACAGGAGCTCTGTCACTGGGAGAGAAATGCAGGCCCAAACAGAGAGTTCTTTAAAAAGCGTTATTGCGCAATCTCTCCCTCGGCACAGCAGCCCCACGTCGTGAGCAGGAAACTCTGCTCTTTGTAGACGTCCAGTTGGCATAGGCAGACTGACAGCAAGAACACAACATCTGCACATCTCTGCTCACAGGCTCCTGCCCCCACACAAACCCTGTCCAGAGCCCCTTCCAGCAGCACATCTGGTCTAGCTCTGCCTTTGCTCCCAGGTGAGGCACGGTCCTGTACCTCCAGCCTTAGCAGCAGCCAGCCAGGAAAAGAAAGAAAACGTCTTGGCACGGATTTAGTAACTCTTCCCTTGTTGATCACTTATGGGCATCTTTTCAAGAAAGAGGTAATGTTTAAGCCCTAGAGCACACTGGGTTTTTTTTAAAGCAGAGTCAGGTCAAATAACTAGGATTTGAACACCTGCAGGGTAGCTTTGGAAGGGTAGGGTGGGTTGATAATGCTGCTCTACAGGTTGTGCTACGCAGGCAGCGCAAGCATCTATTCTGCACATTGTACGAGAGAAAATAACCAGAACGTCAGACTTTAACAGGCACCTTTCCCATGTGTTCTCTTCTCCATCTACTGCTCTTCGTGTTAAGGATGTAAAAGGAAGGTGGTTTAACTTTAAGATTTTTTAATATAAGCAGCTCTGAAAGCCGAAAAAATGTTTGAGAAGCAGATAGCTGCACTTCAAGAGTGGTAAAAAGGCGCAGTGTGATAACTGCTACTTATTTCAAGATAATATTGTATCAATAACATTAGCAGTTTAATGTATTTCCACAAACATTCATCCGACATTCCTTCCTTTTTAAATTTTGTCTATGAATAGGAAATTGAGACATGACTAAAGTCAACCACTAGACCTCCGTGCATTTTTCACCTTCCCCTTCTACCGTCTATTCCAACATTCCATTTCATCCTCTGCCTTTTATTATTTGCATCAACATTTCAAAATAAATGCATTTCAGCAGAGTAGTTCAGCAAGATTTCACAAAGTAAATACAAGAGACCATAGATAAGCCATAACAAACACATCTCTCGAGTCACTTAAAATTTAAAATTGAGGAAACCAAGTTACTCGCAGAAAACCTTTATTCAACATTTTTAAAAGGCTGTTTGTGAAGTAGCGAGTATGCATCTTTCAGGAGGTCATCTCTCAAAATATCCAGAAGACCTTCAAATGAACCACTCCTGCCTCTCCATGGCAGTGGAAATACCCTTCTCCCATTTGCTGAGGCAAATCTTAAACGCACTGCGTGTCATCAAACGTGCACTCAACTGCCTAAACGATTTATGAAAAAGTCACCTTCCGTAGCCAAAGACCTTACTGAGGCAGTCATGGAAAAGTTATCAAACACCATACTAAATACTCCAAAGACCTTTCCCAGAGAAAAAAATTTCACTTTTAAGGCGGCAGGCAACACACCTGCCCCTCAGCCCATGGGCTAGAAAGACCTACTTGTTACACAGCTCAATAGTTTGCCACTCAAATAAGGTTTCCCATTTCCTTCTCCAGGCCCCAGCGAGACCTGTGCCCATCGCACATGCTCTAAGTTTTACACATAAATGAGCAACGAATATCCTTTGAAGCAACTTGAAATGGAAAAGCAAACATGTCATTCCCGAGAGGAATTTCCCCACGCTGTCAGCGCGTGAAGCGAGCAGGGTGCCGCGGCGCGGTGCCAGGCGGCTCCAACCAGCACTCGAAGCCGGCTCCTCCAGCACAGACAGCTACCGCACCGCCACGCGCGTCACTCACCTTGCCAACTCGGGGAGGGAAACGCCAGCATGATCAGCACAGGAAGAAGCATAACACCATCTACCATTGTAGAGCTGCAGAAAGAGAAGAGACATGAGAGCTGTGTATGCTTTCACTGTTGTCTTAAAATGTAACCACCCCAAAATCAGTGGTTAGCAATGTCTTTCATCAATTCCTTATACAAAACACAGAACAGCCAAGGTTGATTGGTCTCCTTTTTACTGTGTCTCGTTTCCCAAGTCATTTCCTTGCTTTATAAAATTAATAATTTACTGCAATTTCTTAAATCTGATTTTTTTTTTTAATTTAGAGTTATAGAAACATCACATGCAACTACAGTGCATATCTAGAACTATGCTAGTAGGAAAACATGAACCCTTTCAGTACCAAACAGGCCTGTAAAATAGAAGATAAGTTCTTTCAACCACCTATTAAAAAGTTAAATTATCGTGAACTGAAGAAAAGCTCAGTAAAACCATATTATTTAGGCTTTGAGGGGAAACAGAAAAGATGTCAGCCAGAAAACTGAGTAACTTTCTTTAACCAGCAGAAACCATTGCTAGATGGCAAGGAAAAAAGCGAGATGCATTTAAGGGAGACACTGCTCTCAGAAGAATAATTTCCCAGTTTAAACTGCTTTTCCAAGGGTTTGTCTTCCAATGGCCTGGCTTAATTTCCCTGCTGTTGAAGACAGGTAACTACATCTTGTGTAAAAACTCGCGCTCTTCACAGCGTATCAGTAGAGGCACATGCTCCCTTTAAAACAGGGGAAGAAAAAAAAAAAAGAGTAAATTCTCTTGTGTTTCAAATCTTTTCCACGATACTTGGTCTTTACAAGAATATAAAAGCTCCACCTTTTACTGTGAAATAACAATTACTTAACAGGCTTCTGAAAGAAACTTTTCTGCAGTTTCTTAAACTCTGCATTTAAATGATCACTGTTACGAGAGAATAGAGGTTAACTACAATCACTCTTCATTGGGGTTTAACCCAACAAGCAGGGCTGGATGACTCAGAAGGGCTCATCTGTCCTGTGCTACTTGGTTCCTACAGAGACTCTCTGGCCTAATCACATGCTGTAAAATTTCAATCAAAAGCAGCGGCAAGTAGTATGTGCAAAACAAAGTTATGCTCCTTGACCAAGACGTAAGTCATTACCATTCTTCTTATGTGTAAGAATGTCTTCATTTTTCAGATTTAATTCTGGTGAAGGAGATGGAACTTGAAAATACATTTGATGTTGCCATTTTTCTTGCTGATATCTTCTGTTGCTGCCTTTTCAAATCATTAGCAGGCTGCATAAGTGCTTGGTGATGAAAGCCAAGCCATTTACTTCTATATTTATTTCCTGACATGGATTTGTTTTGCAGAATATGAGAAACATTTCAGTAACTGCTTCATCATCAGTTAAAATGATCAAAGATTTCTGAACCCAAGTATTCAGAGTTTTCATCCTTACAGAAAGGATCGGGCAGCGCTCACCACTTAACCTCCAGGAGTCAACTCTCACTTTCAAACATCCATTCACCAAATAACTTTGCCTTCCTTGTTCTTGATACACGTCAATGCATTCTTACTACATGCCAATATTTAACCTTCAACAACTATGTTGGAAACTCATGAAATGAAATTATACATAGAATGATCATCGAGCAATCCAATACAGGAAGTTTAAAGCAGAACAAAGGTATCCCAGAGAATGATTAGTTGCTTAATGCTCCGGATCAGCTTAAAGAAGTCCATTGCTCCAAAGAGGGGGCTTTGGGGCTACCTCCAAAGGTAGGGTTACATTTATCTCAGGACATGACAGCGATACCGTCCTCCTCAGCCACCACACAGGCTTTCTTTGGCCGAACAGCTTACACCAGCATTTTCCTCAGCATTACACCCAGAAAACTCCCTGCAAGTCCAGACAACGGTGGCTCATGAGACGTGCCCTCTTTCTTTCAACACATCAACAGTTCAAAGAGCAGAGGCAGAAAACTTTGGTTTGTAATGATGCCGGCCCACAGCCGCAGCGGAGCTGGGCAAGCCAGCCACCCTAGGGGCTGCCAGGCAGAGCTCAGGGTGAGCCTGGCAGGGACAGGCAGCTGGTCCACCCAGAGAGCCCTTCAGACAGCGGGGACACCGACCACAAGGAAAAAGAGCTTTACAAGAGACAAAAAAAATGACCTTAACTACATAGAGCGGGTTAAAACATTAAATGGTAGCATGCTGCTGGCATGCAGAGCAGTTGATGGGTTTTCTACAGATCTGTAATTCCTGCTTGCATCCTCCATGCCCAATTAAAAAGCGACAATGCCTGTTTTCTGCTGGTTTCACACCACCCTCCAACGCCACAGGTCGGCTCAGAGACCTGCACACGCCGCAGCCTCCCCTCCCCGGGGCTCCCTCCCTCCTCCCAGCCGTCCACCACCTGCAAGTCCCCCCACAGCCGTTTCAGCCCTTCCTCCTGCCAAACCTGGCTGAAGCAGGGAGAGCAGGAGAGGAACCTGCCGTGCGTTGCGTTCAGTTCAGGTCTGCCGGGAAAGGAGGTTGAACGCAAGAAACATGAGCTAGCTAGAGCAGAGAATTTTAAGATACGGGAAGCAGACAACAGTACGGAAATCAGGAAAGCTCTGCAAGTTGCATGTAACTATTTGTTTTATTTTCAAACAGTTTATTTCAAGTCCCTAAAATAAAAAATAAATATATATGTATACATGCAAGCCCCTGCTCTGTATTTCTGAGAGGGAGGAGGAGGAAGGAAATCCAGATTGCACCTCCCTGAAGAGGCAAACAACCTCCTATGGGAACTGGCCTGCAGTGACTACTTCCCATCTCAAGAAGGGTGGTTGTAACACAGCCGGGGTGCTAAAATCAGCTCCCTGTCCTCCAATTCCACATGCCCCCATGTCCCCAGCCCATGCCTGCACTTCAGGTCAAAGCCAGCATGGGTTGAGACAGACAGTAGTTCATCAACAAGTATAAGGATTTTTACCAGTCCTCACCAAAAGGGATCAAAATAAGGAAAAAAGCCACGAAACCACAATAACAGTCATTCTTGACATCCTCATCCAAAACACTGTTCAGAGTTTCTCTTCAACAAAGCCCAAGGATGACTTCAGTCAGTAACAGACCTGATATTACACCAAATTTTTGTGTTAAATGCATTTGAGTGCCTAACAGAAAAAGGCCGGCATCCTTGCCCTGCTTCACAGCTGCGGAGGTGCGCAACCGAACCGAAGCCACCCGCTGTGGCTCAGCGGGCGAGCACCAGCGGGGACGGGCAGGAGCTCGGTCAGAGGCTGCTCCGGCTCGGATCCTGGTCCCACAGGCCAGGAACGACTTGCCCAGTGCCCTTAGAAAGGCACTGACCCGCATTCAGCCCAGTGTTAGCAAGCAACTATTTGTGCATGCCTCTTTGGTAGGGTTACATTTATGAATAGACTTTTCCTATTGTAAATGAAAACAACAAAATCAGACTATTAACAGGCTTTAACAGCATGCACTGTCCTCTTGAAGAAAAAAGCCAAATACTAAGAATTTAAGCGCTGCTTCTATGAAACTTTGTTCCTGTAGACATTCATTTTCCCAAAAGCCTCAAAGAATTTTTTGTCTGCTTTTGCCAAGAAGTGCTGTGCATACTTACAACAGCCTATAAAAACCCCACCCTGTGTGTACTTATTGCCTATTAAAATCCTGTGTCATGTTATGTGCAGGCTCTTGGGCTTTTGGCAAGCTGCCCGCACAACCCTCAGCACAGCACAGCCCAGTTACACCACCTCAACTGGGTCTGCTGGGACTGGGAGACCAGATGAGAGAAGGAGTTAGGAGGGAACCTCTGACATTTGCAAAATACTGATTTTCTTCCAAAAATTATTTGAGCGCAAGTACATCCACTCTAAAAGTTAAGTGTGACAAATTAACTCTTCACTATATTAAACCCATGTCATGTCCTTAATCCTTGCTCTAAGACAAGAGAACATTTCAGGTGGCATCAGGCAAGGTCTGCTCCCAGCCCGCACTGTTACCCAGCACCGGCCGACGCACTGTTTAGACAGCTGAAATCCTGCCAGAGCCTCAGAAGACGCACCCCGATCCCTTGCCGGGTGCCATTTCGCCCAGGGTATGCCGTATCTGTTGTGCGCCTGTTAAATCAGCAGTTAAAAATAAGCCTGGAGAGCCTGCTTGCAAGGCAGCTGTGGGACGCGGGGCCAGGGGTGCCAGGACCCCTCTCCAGGGTCCCACCAGGCACCGGCCCCACTGGGAGCCGCCGCAGGTGCTGGGGCGGGGTGGAGCCACGGCTCCAAATGGTGCTCTGGTTTTTACAGTCATCCGCGTTCCCACAGTACCCTTTTAAGTGAAGGCGCAAGAACCACACACAACACCGCGGCCAGGCTGTTGCTCTATTTCGCTTCCAGGTTACCCCAGCTGCAAACTGCAGACACAGCAGGGGCTGAGCTGAAAAGTCCAGTTTCCATTGCTAAAAGCACCCAAACAAACAACAAAAAAACCCACAAAAAACCCCACAAAACAAAAAAGTTTTTTATAAGGAACTAATAATACATATACGTAAGAACCAAAATCGGGTTCTAGTGACACCAGCAAGCACACCTCTTCCATTTACTACCCGTTTAGAGAGAAATAAAGTGTAAGTTTTAATGTAAAGAACAAACCATTCTTTAATAAAACTCCACAGCAAGCTGCTACGGATCTAGAGACCCATGAGGTGTCCAGTTAGTGCCTGGTGAGTTCAGAAGAACGTTCTCCAAAGGCAGGGCTGGGATCTGGGATTTCATCCCCACACAGGAAGGGGAACGAGGGCCCCCCCACGCAACAA